GGGGGGGTACAGGAGTCTCGCAACAATAACATTCCAGTAAGTAATTATATTACAAAATATCGCGATATGAACGCCGCGATTTTCAGTATTCATTGTTACTATCTAATATGTCGAGACTGAAATGAGGAAGAATTTGCTGCTCATCCATCTTCCAATCGTTGCACTCTGTGATACAGTTGGATTGACATACTGGGTTCTGAGTTAAGCTGAGATAGTGTCCTTCACCTTTCCCACTTTCTTCCGGTCACTGCCCGACATAACACCCTTCTTGCATTCTCTGGTGACAAATGACATCAACGACACTTTTTGCGTGACATGACATGCTCTTTCACTCTTCTTTTTTCGCTAAAGTATTTATCATCTTCAATTAATTAAAACATAACTTAAAAGTTCATTCATTAAAATGCAATCAACGTATCGTTTGTTCATAATAGGGATCAAAACGTGTAAAAATATTACAGTTAAATATAAAGTTTACTTCAGTGTCTTCTTTATGTGAACGTGCTTTTTCCTGTGTTTGATATGTATCATCGATTTTTATCACAATGCCGATACCTTAGCTATTTCTTCACTGTATTTTGAGAGATTGAGGAAAACTTCCAGAAAATTTTTATTGGGGTTCAGAGTTCGTATAAAAAAAGACTATTTGTAATTGTCTTTATGGATCTTAACCTGATCCCCACATTCACTGATCTTTAACCTTTTCTAAGGGGTAAATGAAATTCTAATTTCACATCGTTCCTCCATTTGTTCTCACTCTCTCTCCTTCAGTCCTTTTTGCTTCTTTAAATCGAGAAAGAGGGAGAGAGAGAGATCTGATATAACTGGGTCCATTTCTCGTTAACAATTTATTCTACTTCATATTTCCTCAATCTTAAAGCATAGCCTCATTTAATCCATTGTTATGACAGCTGAGGTAGCTGCCCATCAATTTTTTTTAAAATATATTCATCTACAACTGAGTCGTTTTTTCTTTTGAATAGCTTCTTTGGGAATAGTTTGTGGAGAAGGTCACAGGTTATAAGCAAGCAAGCATAGATAAATAAAACCACAAGTGAACAAGTTAAAAACTGTAGCAAAATCAATAATTTTATGAGAGAGCGCTTATCAATTTCTGCACATAGAGTTCATTTTAAAATAAAATGCTTTCATTTTTCTTTCCTACTGTACACACATCTCTTCAATTTGCAACTTACTGACTTCGGCAATTTCAATGTGTTAATATCATATGGCACTTTCGATTGTTGAACTCTTTTATATTTTTAGTACGTCGTTGGTAACGTCTTCGTAATTTGTTTGTTTAATTGTGCTTTATTTAAGTTTTTTGCTCATATCGCAGTAAGCTTTACGTGTCTAAGTGCGTGCACTATGAAACTATGAACTCTTCATAAGCATACTGTGTAATTCCTTCATCGGTATTACAATTTCATGTATGACTGAAAAAAACAAGTCTGCCAAAATAATTTTGTCAAATACATACAGCATATATACTCACACATACATACACACGTATACACAACTTATGTGGCATGTATGTATGCAGATAGGGAGAGATTTGATAGCGTTCTGTCATTCGCTTTATATCATCAGAAGAACAGATGTGTAAATGAACGATGTCGAGGAAAGCAGTTTGTTTTGTATCTGTTCTATTTTACTTTTTGTAGTTTTCAGTAAGAGTTAATATAATTTTCAGAATCGTGATGGAGGATGCTTTGCTGCCAGGTCCTCGAGAAAAGATACCCAGAACATATGAAGTAGACAAAGAACGGCATACCGAAAGCTATATCACTGCAGTTCGTGGAAATAATCTTGAGGTTCAAGTTGTATTTTTTCTCTACTATCTGAATCGGTAATTAGCGTTAAATTACGTTTCATTTCCAGTTCATCAGAAAGTTGAAAAGCTGTGAGTTTGATTACTGAGGTTATTGATTTGAATTGTGTGGCAATTGTTTTTAATTTAATTTCGTTAAGTCCAAGTAAAAAAAGCTTGCTCACACCTTAGTATACTAAAATGTGAAATAAAACCTACCTTAAACTAGATCATTTTTCGTCGTGAATATGCAGACGATTTATTCAAATCTACATGAAGTGGATGAAATAATTCAGGTCCTCAGAGACAGCGGAATATTTTGCCAAGTTTATAAGGTGAAAGGTAAAGCATAGATTACATGATGTATTAACTTTTAATGAAAAAAGTATTAGGTGGCTCTTGTAACGTGATTCATGTATTGCGGCAAATAGTTCGTTTAATGGTGAGATATATCAGTTTTAATAACTGTCTTTTATATTGATTTATATTCTTAGGATGAAAAAAGGACCCTTATGGATGAAATAAAAGATAACTTTCATATGCTTCCTTCTGCCTCTCTTCTTAAAGATGAATCAGCGACATCGACGAAACGGACAGAGTTTAGATATACTATTGCAGAATTGGAGTGTTATAAAAACGATCCTTTTTGGAAAACTTTGAGGTTACAACTTTTTTTAAAATTGGAACTGATTTTGATGTTTTATTTTTACGAATTATGAGCTTATCTGAAAATTCGTCATGCTTCTTTCGTTACGTGATCTGAACATTCCATTTTATTTATTTTTTCTAACATTTCTTTCTATATTCTCAAGCATTCATTTAAATCTTTGTCATTTGAATGCTCTGGTGAATCAAATATCTTTTGCTACTTACTGTAGGCTCATTTTACACTTCATGCAGACTGTCTCCATCATGACACTCGTACAGTTCCTGTTTTACTAATGATTGAACGGCCTGATGATCAGCACTCTATCTGTTTCATTTTTTTCAAAATGCCGAAACTGTTAGTTGTTTGTAACAATAAAAAAGCAGAAAGCAGTTTCTAAACTTTTTTTGAAATTTGTTATCACAAACCTAAATTTAATGCAGATGGCTGCTATTCGTCTTGTTTTGGTTATTATGGATTTTGATGTTTCTGATCGCCGTTCTTATTGTCATACTTAGCCCAGGTTGTGCTCCCAAAGCAGCGCCAAATTGGTGGGAGAATGCTAATGTTTATCAGGTAAAAATTTTGTGATTTTTGCAGATCCCTTTTTTGGTAATACTCACTAAAGATGAAATTATATCTTTAATGATATTTTAATTAATTCCATGATTGAAGAAAACAGAGGAATTTGTCGTGCTTCTAAGTTTTTATGTCTTAATTTCTCTTTTAAGATTTGGACACCATCGTTCCAAGATTCGGATGAGAACGGTATCGGTGATTTTGTTGGTCTTACCAATCGTCTTGAAAATTTGCGACGTTTGGGTGTCCAAGTTATATGGCTTAATCCCTTTCTACATTCTGATGATTTCAATGATGCAGTTCAAGATCACTTAATAGTTGACTCGAAACTAGGTACAAATGATGATGTTTACAAACTGATCGATGCTATTCACGATAATGGTTGGTACTCTAATTAAACTTATGAATCTTTTTACTGTCCAGAAGAAAAAATTGAGATTTCTTCTGTGTAAGAGAATTATTATGTAAAAAACAATTATGATTAATACAAATAAAATGTATCGAAGCAAAGTAAATGTGTGGAACTAATTAGTATTATTGTAGGAATGAAAATTGTGATAAGCTTACCAGTGAGTACTACATCGAAAAACCATGACTGGTATCGTCGAAGTTCGCAAGCAAATTTAAAGGAATTTGCGAATTATTCGAATTATTATCACTGGTGGAAAGATGCTGAAGATAATCCTTTCATGTCGAAAAATAAAAACATCTCCTACATGCATTATGAAAATCGGCCTGATTGGCCTGTTCTAAATTGGCAATACGGTCCTGTTCAGGAAAATATGTTTGTAAGTTTCACTCTTAATATCAGACCATGATGGAACATTAATTCTATCAAATGTGAGACTGAGGTCCGCTTGTGTTTGATCAGTAGCCGTGCTAAAAGCAATTTTTTATAGTTATTCATTTGTTAATATTTAGCTTTTACTTTCTCTCTAATTACGTTCGAATACATACTTGAGAATAATGAAAAGGTAAAAGAGTTGATAGGTATTAGATATTTTTTCAGTTTATTTATTTATAGAAAATAATGTCTTATTGGATAGACAAGGATATTGATGGATTCTACCTCAGTGGAATCGAATATCTTGCCCGCATGAAATCCGGATCTTTAGCGGTTTGTTTATGCATATATCTGTTTCAAGTGCCATATTTTGGGAAGAAACAGTTTTGAAAAGAATCAAACCATTCAATTATTCAATTTTGTGCTTGTGAACTTAATGCATTAATTGTCGCATGATTTGTTTAGGACTGGGCACGTATCGTGGATATTCTTCGTGATATCAGGAATCATGTGGATACTTATGTGGAAGAAACTCCAATAATTAGAGCCAAACAGATGTAAGAGAATTCCGAAACGAAAAAGTTTTCTAGCAATTTGTAAAATAAAATGCAAATTTTGTATTTTAGTCATAATTGTGCTTGCACTCATCTTAGTTCGCTTCTCAGTTTTTTAAATACTACTAGTTTCTAAAAGACTTTGCAGAATTTATTTTCTTTCGACGTATTTCTTTAATTGACAAGAAATAAAAATTGATTTACAGTGCATTATTCACTGCGCGTGATAATGCGAAGGAAAGCGAGAAGAAGGAATTGGTTCTGGCTGGATTGAATTCAGTGATCAATTATGAACTAGGGAGCATTGGGAAAGATAATCAGATCTGCCACCCTACCGAGGATAATGTTGCTGGATGCATTCATGAAATACTTACTGAATTAGTACATTTTCACTCAGCAAACAATATTTCTGCAATGTGGGAGGTCATTTTTATTTTCGATTTCTGAGATAATTTAATAAAAATCTTTCGTTTCATGCGTCGCCAGCTGTCGGAATCTTTCTAAAAGCAATTATTAAAAGTTGTGTAAATCATTTCACTTTTGTACTGACGTCGCGATCATAATGAACATCTCTTATGTGCTATCCTGTTGATATTTCCGAATGTTCAATCGATAATGCGGTAAATCTAATTGCAGTTCGGTAATCCAAAACTATCAAGAATAGCTTCTCGTGTAAAATCACAGCAGCAAGCCGAGATGTTAACTATGTTGCAGCTATTTTTACCTGGTACTATCAGTATCTACTACGGTGATGAAATTGGGATGATGGATTTACCGAATGAAAAATTAGTAAGGCTCTGTTGTATTTTTTGCAGAACATTTCCAAGTCCGAGAAAAGTATATGCCCCTTTGTAGGTACCAGTTCAAAGAGGTGCTATGCAATGGGATGATTCTGCCAATGCTGGATTTTCAAGTGCTAATCCATCAAGCATTCCTGTTCATCCTGATTTTGCAGACAATAACTGGGCTGTAAGTTTTATGTTTCATTAGTACCTACTACAAGAAGTTCGTCGTCATCCAAATTGGGGTGGGCATAGTAAACAATACTTACGTTTTAAAACGATGAGTTTCAAAATTCGTTCGAATTAGTATAAAATAATGCTATAAATTTTAGAGACAATATAGTTCTCAACGTTCACATCTGAAGACATTCCAAAAAATGGCTCGATTGAGAAAAAGAGATGAGACGCTTAGTTTTGGGCGCACTATTATTGGACCACTGATAAACAGTTCCTTCACGGTTATCAGATATGCTAATGACGAGAACACTCCTACTGGAAACGTAATATTGTTTGATGAAAAGAGAAAACTTGAAAATTATTAGCATAGTATGTTATGAAATATATTGGGTATCTTATTTTCAGACTTATTTGGGAGCGTTTAATTTTGGTACAGTTGATACAGCACTGCCAATTCAGGAATCAAATGTTATGGAGAAGAAGAAAATGCATCAGGCAATGGTAATGGCATTTAGTAGCAATGCAAAGCAGTACCACTATCATCAAATAATCGATCTCAGCAGTGGTACCGTCATGATACCACCTGAACAGGGTGTCATATTTAAGTTTAGCTTTTGATCTCCATATTTTATATTTTGAAGAACAAACAACTACTCCAAACTTGTTATCTCGGAATCTCGTAATAAATCATGAAATGAGTGTTCTAATAACAATGTATGACATACAATATTATCTTGAGAATATTACCACTGGTTTTAATGAATGGCAAGGTAAAAAAAAACGATCCCAGTCAGCGAGAGAGATTTATTTCTTCTGTGATTCCTGAAAAATGTAATTCAATTTCATGAACTTCCATTTTTTTTTGCACAAATAAATTGGGTTGGAACAAAAGTTGAAATAAATACCGCGAATGTTCGATATTTTACTCCTCGTGAAACATGTAATGAGGATCAGGAGGATGATGAATGCAACGATCACAACAGCGATGAAGACCCAAGAATGTACGCTGTAATTTTTATGATACTTCTATATGACATTCTGACAAGAGAAAAGGATTGTAAGAGAAAACTACGTACCGAAATTTCATGATAAATTTCAGCTAATAAAAAAAGGTCATTTCGCAAACATTTCTGTGAGTACTCCTCTGCAAGGAAACGGAGCTGTATTGTATTGTACAGATAAAGAACATCCAATGAACAGAACTGCAATCATGGTACCTGTCGCACTGATATACGTGCAAATTAGGTATATTGCGAATCAACAATTCGGTCACTATCTGTTTATCATATCCTACTTGGCGACAACCAAAAACACATTCTTGATTGCACATGCTATGCGTATACACATCTCGGTAGTTTTGGAAATAAAGTTTGTGAAGGAATTGAATATCGTTTGATTTCGATTCTTTTATAGAATATATAGGCATCTCAAGAGCAAAGTAGTCACCACAGAATGCTGGTTTCATTCCTTCCATCTTAAAATTAGAAAGTTTTTGAAAAAATAGGCTTTCATATTTCTGTTAATATATATCTCGTACTGCTCTTAGTAAAGAGGTATGGAAAGAACAGCAATATTTCTTTACATTCCTTGTTCTATCTTGCTTTTTTTCTTTTTTTAAGCTGACTATCTCCTCAGGTTTAGAAAATTGAACAAAATTCTTTAAGAAGTATCAGTCAAAAACCGTATGAAAACATTATGTATAGAACATGAGAACCTCAACATCATAATAGTTAATACGAAGATTGGTATCCAAAGGTATATCATTGTGAAGCATCTGAATTTGTCTCTCTTCCGGAGACAAGATTTGCAAGTTGCGCAATTCAAAAGATGAGATTTTTGAGCACTGCCGCGAGCAGAACTGTAAAAAAGTGATAGATGTGAAGTGCATCTTTTGGTTCAAAAGAAAAGCACTTTCTTAGTATTCCTATGCTTAAGAAAAATAATGCGGATAGTTGGTAAAACATAGGATTGCCGAAGAGAGTATGTGGTTAACAAAGTTTATGAACTTGCCTTGTTGCATAAATCCATAGAAAGGCAAAAAAGATTCTGTCCGTACATGCCGCATTTCTGAAATGAATCCCGATCTTTTCAATATTCCTTCCCATGACATTACAGGCACTATTCATGAAATATCCATAACCTTAGACAGGGCTTCCAGTAAATGCCCCATCGCTACACAGAAAAAGTTGATAAGACATAACTCGCACTCAACATGCCATCTTACCCTGCTTTATTTTACTCGGTACTTTTATATCCAGATACTGCGAAACTAAGATGCAAACAAAATAGCGCCGTTCCATTGAAAGCATCATTATTTTGATTAGCTCATATATGAAAAGCTTTTTAAGCTTCGAAGCGGGCTATTTGTAGAGAAGGCAAAAGTTGAGACAATCTACTGGATATATCTGTCTACAGGTAGGATGAATAATCAAATCTACTTGAAACCCCAGAACCTATAAGGCTTCGTATTTAACAAAAGTAACCAATAACATCTCATAATTCCTTCTTTATCAACCGTTCAATATTTTTCTTATTTAGATTTGCTCATTTAACACTAACAGTTGATTGATTAACAGTAGCTTCCTTTCCTTTCTTCAGGAATATTTGCTGTGAATGTCCAGTTACTGTGTCCAGAACAGCTAACGCAATTACTGTAAGAGAAAATGAAATGCTGATGGCACACGCAGTACCTGTAGACCATCTATCCATCATTCACTTCACATTAGTGACACAATTAACATCTCCCGTCCTTTATTTATTCCCTCTTGCAAACATTCAAATTTCGAAACAATTCAACGACCAAATTTAAATTTTTTCCCAGTTTGGTTCGAAACAACTATGAATAATTCTGTGCAGCCGATGTAACATAGCGATACACAAAGCTCACAATGAAAATTTCATCTCGTGGATATACCGAGAAATTACTCAGCTTCGTTATGTTTAAGTTATAGGAATGCTGTGCCGTAATCGTTCCAAATAATTCTGTTCACCCCGTCATCACTTCCCACTCAACTATACAAGCGAATATAGCCATAATCCTCATGCCTGTCTGACGGTTCATCATTATTTGGATTTGGTGGTTTGTATTGGTCGGGTAGGATTGCGCACGGTATCGTGGGAGTATTCACGTTTGGGTAGAAAGGTTTCTCATTTGTTAGAGTACTGATTAAATACTTTGTAGCACTGATCAAAATGGTCAACGTTCCGAAAACACGACGAACATTTTGTGATGGAAAATGCCGTCGACATACAATGCATAAAGTGACGCAATATAAGAAGGGCAAGGAATCGAGACTTGCACAGGGTAAGTTCTGTTATCAGTGATCCTCGATGAAAAACCAATATATATGATTATTATTCTCCATGCTTTATATTATTTTGCTACAATTAGGGAGCCTGTTTAAGAGATTGAAGTGTGCTGCGCAAACAGACTGATTCTGCACTTAATTGTTTTCTTTTTGTTTCAGGTAGACGACGTTACGACTCAAAACAGAAGGGTTTTGGTGGTCAGACGAAGCCAATTTTCAGGAAAAAGGCAAAAACAACGAAGAAAATTGTTTTGAGAATGGAGTGCACGGAATGCAAGCACCGCAAACAATTGCCAATTAAGCGATGCAAACATTTTGAACTCGGCGGTCAGAAGAAAACGCGTGGGCAGGTAAATTGTGATGTCACACTTGTTGCTTGACTTTTTGTGGACGTTTTGTCTTATTGTGAAAATCAACCAGAATCTTAAAATATAATAGAGATAGCAGGAGGAATGAGAAGAAATATGAAATTAGGGAGTTGAATCATTTGTTACAACTAGGTTTTTTTTAATAAATGTTTGTCTTTTCATTTACCTACTTAATTTTCTTTTTCAAAGACCTTTTTTTTTCAGGTTATTCAGTTCTAAGAAGTTTGCTTCGGTGATCTGCTTATGGTTTTGTTTTTTTTATGTTACTGTTATCATATAACTGAAAAACGATAAAAATTCTTTTATTTTTAAAAAACATGTTTTGCAAAGTCCATACTACTGCATCTCATGATCTCTCTGCGCGAGTTCAATGTCACTTCTGAAAGTAATTTCCAAAAAGGATTATACTCATTTTAACAGAAAAAGTTTCACTCGTTTAATGAAATACCATATGCATTTGTCATTTGTGCAGTAAAAATTATGGAGAGCGGAAGTGTATAAGACATTGCACTATGAAAGACCATGATAAATCGTAGATAAGTGGATGCTTTAAAAATGAGTTTTTTTATATTTCTGTTGGGAGGACAGAAAAGAGGTCATCTCTACTGACCTTTCTGTTCTCTTTGTTTTGGGATCCCTTGAAAATCTGAAGCCAGTGCACTGGTAGTTTTTTATTTACTACGAAGAGTTTTCTATGGCAAGCAGATAGAAAGACGGTGGTGTAGCATATTGTCCGTGAGGATAACTACGGTTCATTTTTACAGATATATTTCATTTGACAAATGTGGCAATGGTTATAACAATCACGTACCATGATAAGCCAGGTAAGCCTGAAATCCTTCATGATAAGAAAGGAGACTTTCATTATCACAGGTGTATATAATATTCTAGCAGATGAGATATGCTTTTGCCCTATTCAAGATTGCCATCTGTAAGCGGTTGGAAATTTGTTTTCTATTGAAAAGATGAATTCCGGAGCTACTGTTGTGTCATGATGGAGCATATTTTTGATTGTACCAGTAAGATGACTTACTGGACCTGATTTAAGTATGATCTCTAGAGATAGCTGTAATTACAGGTGAAATTCTCTACAGCTTTTCAAAAGTGGGTGATAATGTTTGTATTGGTCGGGATAAGCGCCAGTGTAAAATTGCGCTTGGGGTAAATGCGCAAGGAGTCAGTCGAGTTCACTTAAAACTTGAGTTGCTGTCAAACGATCGCGTAAGTTTTCGTTAAGAAGACTTAAGAGAGTTTCATGTTGTATTCTTGTGTAAGAAACCTTCCAATCATTTTCTTTTTTAATCTTTTTGAGTTTTAATAACTCGTGGACATTTTAGTTACTTGCTCGAGACACAAGTACTTATGGTACTGGTTACGATGGTGGACCGTTAGTAGTGGAGAAAGAAAAAGAATTGAAACCCCCCGCCATTCTACAGGTAAGAAATTTTAAAATTTTTGTCACTGCTATCTGTATTTACTCTACTAACGGCATCTTAAGGCATCTTGACATCTTATTTATGAACGCACATCGATATTCTCTCTTTTTTGTAATCAGCAGTCTTTTAAGATTGTTGAAATAAGGAAACTCTTGACTTGTAAATAACCTAAAAACCGGATTTAATTTTGCAAAACGTGGGAAAATAATTTGAGAGAAAAAGTCTGTCACTTCTCGTTGTTTTAAATTGTACCATTTTCTCCTTTCTTTTATTTCATTTAGTAATTTGTATTATTGATATTCTTTTTCATAATGTTCATTTCACAACAATTCATAGCGACTGGAGTAAGATTAATTTCTCTGAAAACTGCACGATGAATAAGTTTTTTCATTCTTTTCTGTCTCATTTTCTACAAATCTCCGCTATTTACTATTTGAGATGTTCTTTTAAATGGTGATTGGATTTATCAATCTGATCTTTTTTTCTCTTAAATGTTATTTGTATTAAGGCATAAACATGGAAATGAAGACCAAAAACATTAAACTTACTTTTATTAGAAATATTTCTGATTATTTGATAATCTGCTTAAAATCATTACATCTTATTTGATAAATAAAGAAATATCATTAATAATCAGTAATTCTCATAGTACAGTCTCTATAAACTAAAAAGCATCTTTCGTTTTCTCTACTTTTAGTTTCATTAATTAACCTAACTTATTTGTCCTTGAAAATCTTAAATGCTTTTTGTCAAATAATTATATATGAAAAAAAAATTTAATTTAAGAAAAAAATAATTGGTTGATATTATATCCCCTTTCAATGAATAACAATTTTTGCAATAGCTGAACTAAAAATCATTTCATGACATGATAGTTTATTGTATTACCAGTAAACAGATCTGTCTCCTATAAAAGAAGAATGGAATGAGCTTCTTATAAGTTTTTACAGAATATTTTTTCCTAACCAATTAGTTGTTCCAGATCGGCATTTTCTTTTTTGTCATCAAGGAGAGCGTTAAACAGAACTGTGAAGAAGAGACCATTGCAAATCCATTTTTGAGAATTGCAAGAGTAAATGTTATTTCCAACTAATTCTGTTTCTTTTTTTCCAAATGGCTTTTTTTTACTAACCATCAGGATCAGTGTAAAACTCTCAGCACATTTTTCCTGTTTTTATGCTTATTATAGATCAAAATTTGTATTATACAGCTAATAAACCGTGCGGAAATATTCTGTTTTTTAAAAAAAATATTCATGCATGTAATTTTTAGATTAATTCACGGAAGAGATTAGCGTCAAACAAAGCAGAAGTAGTAGTGGGGGAGAAATATGTCACTGAAAAAATGCGAGTGATGGACGGTATAGTTGAGAAGTTGGCTCCTGGAACGAATGATTCAGAAAAAGAAGTTGCTAGAAATAGTATTCTTCATCCTAAGGTATTCTTATTTTTTTCTTCATTCTAGGCTTTATCCATGCGCCAGCATATACCTTTAATTGATTTTGAAATTTATAATTTTAGTAACAGTTTCATGAATTGGAAATCTTGTAGATACAAGACGAATTTGATGCGCATACAAGTTCAAACTTAAGTGCAAATGAGGCTTGGGTACAAGAACAAGTAAGTTTGAAGGCTTTAATTTATCTCTACATCATTAAGAATTTAATTTTGTGCATTTTTGGTTCCTATAATCTCCATATCAGTTATATCGATTTTTTAATTGGTTATTTCAAAGTAATTTGCTTGGATTTTATCAAATTATATTCTTGAAGGACAGGAAATTGGTTGCAAAACTGGGAAAGGAAGAGAAAGAGAAAATGGATAGGTATGTATTATTTTATTTTGTTTCTTATTTGTATAAACTGTGTAGACGAATGCTTTGAATTATTTTCAGTGTAAAACTCGCTTATTATCGAAGAATTGCTGATTTTCTACCTTCGGATGACGAAGATGAACGGTAGGTGCTGATTTTTATGCTGTATACCACTACATATACTATTTTGTGTAACCCAATACTTTATTAAAAATTGATTTATTTTGCATGAAGCGATCATCAGCATTATTGGTGTAGTTAGTGGTCACGTGTTTCTTGAAGAAACATATGTATGTTAGATTGTTCTGCAAAAGTGAAGGAAAATATAATTTAGAGAAAGTGGACAAAACAAATCAAAAACATCTATGTTCACAATGGCTGATTCTTGTCAAAATGTAGGTTCGGCTACAGGCGTATCATGGCAATATGATTCAAGTAAGGATGAATTTAAAGTTATAGCCGATATGTGTTGTGGTTCTAATTTTTATAAATTAGCTACAACTCCTTCAATTCCAGGTAACAAAAACACCTATGATACGGTTCGGTATACACATTTTCCAACCACAGATACTTCATTCTTCTCGAAAAGGTGGATATTTCATTTCAAGAAATTTTAAGTTGGCAGTATATAAAATGTTGTAGGTTTTTTTTAGGATGCGACGTAGTAGTACTTCAGAGAAAGCTGATGGATTGTTTAAGGAAGTTACATCAATGAAAATTATGCCTGAAAATGCAATGAACGATTCTATACTTGTTGGAACTAAAAGGAATGAAATACTGGATGATACTGATAGAGAAAAATCTAAATCTCTATTCAACAGGTTTCTTTTCTAGTGTCATCCGGACTATCTTGTCGTTCAGAGATGTGTGATTTCGGATCACGATAATGCTTATCAAACTTAATTTTATGCTGACATTTTCAAAATCAAAGGGATCAATAATAATTAAATAATCCTATTTAGTTTTACTAAACAGTTATATCCCGTGATAAAATACTTTTCTCGATTTATGCTCTAAAAAGCAAATTTTTGATACTTACTCCAGCACTCAATTTTCATCTTCCCGACAGAAACTTAAAAAAAGTGTAAATGAAATGTCAGCTATCGAAAAGAATAATACCGCAGTTTCTCATGCTGGACAATTTAACCATTTGGAATCTCAAAATGTGAGTAAGAAATTTCGTGATCCTCCACGCAAAACGGTGTTGAAGAAAAAAGATCCAAAACTGCTTAAGGTATTTAATATATAATACTAAATATTAATATATTTCTGAAGACACTCTTAGAATAAATTTATGTTCATATTTTTATATCTCAGATTGTTGGCAAACAGAGTACCATTGCTACTGGATTAACTTCTTGGCTCGGTCTAAATACTGTCAAAAAACGAAGCAGTCAACTTGGTAATTTTTGTGAAATTTTGACTTTGACCGTTATATTACCTATGGTCTGTTTAGTCTTATTTTAACTACCAAAAACAGGTTCTAATTCGTTCATTTTATTTCTTCGGCAGAATTTGTTACAGAAATCTAAACAATAAAGTATATCAATAAGTGACTGATAATTTGCAGGGAATGAAAGTAATACGGATGAAATGGTGATATCCTCTAAACGGGTGAAAATAGAAGTAATGGAAAATGAAAACAAAAAAGAAGTTAGTATCGGTTTTAAGCTTCTATTTATTTTTATTGAGAGTGAGATCTATTTCAGTTGTCGTTTTGCAGGAATCGGAAAAAAATGTAAACTCAATTGAAAATAGAACAGATTATGAAGCAAATACTGATAAAAATGATCAAATCCTCGGGATGGATATTGAAGTTTTGCGTATGAAGTTGGTCAGTATCAATTTATATCATCGAAATTGTTGCGTATTTCTATAGCTTCTTTCTTCCGTTTCTTGTTGATTGTGGTAGTTGATAACCAGCATTTAAAACAGCTTATTTTCCATTTCCAGAACAAAGCAGTGCAGTATAAGAATCTGGAAAGGCCAGTTCAGGCGAAAGACGGATCACAGTCTGACGTGACCGATCATTGGCAAGAATATAACTACAAACGTTTTAGAAAAGTAAGAAAGTAAAATAAAATTGAAATATCACAATGCTTTTTTTCTACTTATTGAAAGTGTTAAGGATTGAATTTGATAGATATCTGTAGTGGAAATACTATAATGCATTATATATTTAAATTACTGCAAGTTTGGAAGCTTTTTGAAACAAATTCATTTTGGTAACTTTTCGATCTTGATCTTGATTTGGATGCAGTAGTTATAACCTTGAGCATTCTTGAAGAGGCTTATGGTAGCAGTGTTTCATGTTCAATTAGTTTGTTATGTCAGAACTGACTGACAGTAGTCCTCGCATAAATATGGAATAAAACGACAAAATAATTTGACACTATTTTCCATCTACTCAATGCTGGTGAGGTTGACTTGTAGGCTGCGCAGGGATCACATGGTGGATGTGGATTATTACATTCTTCGATGACGCGAATTGTGGGTGTTGCTGATCTGATCGATTTCAAAGAAATTGCTTGATTTGTTCATTGCGCATAATTTCATACTTGCATGTAATTTTCGTTTCAAATTTATTATTCTGTACTACTGTGACTGACCTTCATTCATTTCATTCCAATTATTCACTTATCTTTTTCTTCCACGTCTTCTTATAAATTTTTTTCTTTACGGATCCGTTTCCTGAAATTCCAAGAAAATAGCAAAATGAATGGTATTTCTGAAGTTGTGTTGTAGCTTTGGTCCAGCACAATCACTATGATCTTTTCAGTGACTGTGAAATTTATATGAATCTTTGGATTCATATGTTTTGATAGTTATTCATAGTTAATATTATATGCAAATACTTTTCGGGATTGAATAGGTGAAGTCCGGTCTCCTTTCTTCCCTTCCTGGGTATAATTGTAGCGTATTATTTATTCGATTCGTTTGTCTTATCAAAATGTGAAATTTTTCAAACTGAATTCTGGCTTTCAAGTTGCTCAAGAGCAAAAAATAAAAGCATTCTTTTCTTTGCATTACGATTTTTTTCCTCAGAAGTTTGCGTCCATCATTGTTTAGTGAGTATTTTTTTTAGAGCCATTTGCGAAAATTTTGCGCTGTACATATTATGTGGGGAGGAAAATGTTCCAACCGATTGGTTTAGTCGCAACCCCCATACAGTCGCAACCTTTTTTGAAAAATAAAACTAGCTATCTATTTTCACGAAGTTACTTTTATTTTTATTCCAGGATTAGTCCCTAGAATGTGTAATCTCCTTGGAAATATATTTTGGGCTAACGCCACAACCAGTTTGGGTCAATAACGCAGATGTTCAAATTTAAATGCGTATGTTAGAATTTTATGAGATTGACATGAAATTGAAATTTCGACATTTAGTGATGATTTTTTCATCAACGATATCAGTAACACTATCGAACAATATAATCTTGCTGAAAAGGAATGATGTATTCCGGTATTAACTTCATTTAGCATTTTTTTTTACCCACGATAGCACATAGAGCTCTGGAGTTAGCATGTCAGCTATTTCATAAGGGAATAGTTGAGGCTATATAATCTGTAGCATTTTTTAGAAGTAGATGTGGTGGATAGCTTGAGCTTGAGAAGATTGGTAAACTATTTATTGAATAACTAATATTCTAATAGCCAAGTATTATGCTTTGGGAGGGATGGGTCTTCTCTTTTCATCTTACGCATTATGCCTAAACTCTCCCCAATGCACATCATTTGTCTCATTTTGCCATTTCATTTTCATTCTTTGCCATATTTTTTGATTTTGTTAGCACTAACTTATCAACTTTATGGCTATTTATTTCTTACACTGAGGCTGGCATTTATTTTCCATAACATTTCGTGCATTTTTGCTTCATTTATCTAATATGCCGTTCTGATCTGGATTAATGAGTGGAAATAATGAATGTTGTTGACATTTAGTTAAGTTATTAATTACGTTTAGATAATTCCGCTTCCTTTCTGTATTGTTTTTGCGTGTTTACTTCATACCTTATTTTGAATGTCGTGTTGAGTTCTTTCTCCCATCTCTTCCATATGATCAGTTCTTCAATATTCTTATTAGTGAAACGAATTTCAATTTTAACTAATTTCAGCTTAAAAAACACTAAATTCACATAAAATATTGCTTATATTAAGTTCAAATAAATTTCATTTTTTTTATAGGTTTAATTGTGTTGGAAATGAAAACAGTTATTGTTTGATATTCTAAAAAATTGATGGAATCAGTTTTGAAATTAGGTGATAGTTTGTAATAATTTCCGAAGTGAGTCTCGTCTCCAAGCTTATGCCTATCATTAGTTTCAAAGTAATTTCTTACTCAAGCAGTTGCTATATAGTAAATGATGGTGTTTTTGAAATGGAAATGTCCAATGTTGTTATGTTTGCATTTCCCTTGACATTCATTCCCTTTGGTTATATTATTCTCTTGAAGACAGGTTTAGTCTCTGTGAAGCTGAAAGAATGATATATTAATCAATATCTTTATATCAATAGCTGAGCATCAAGAATGGGGCAGAAAGATGATTTATTACTTGATTCGGATGATTCCGATATACCTGATCTTGATTTACCTACTGCAAATATTCGCAAAGAAAGGTCAAGGTTATTCTCAAGGTCAGTTGTTCGCTTTTTTTTTAATTTTGAACATTTTCTAAAGCGCTGTTTATGAAATGGACCATACAGATATTAATCAGAAGAGGATTATTTTTATCATTAAAGAAATTAAGATTGTTTAAATTTCCAACAAATTTGAACTGCGCCATTTTTTTATAGGCAACAAACAATGTAAGAAAGGCTAATAGATATTGGTGCGGTAATTAAGCTTTCCAGAGAATTTAAAAGCTCTTTTTGCAAGATGTTTGGTGTATTAAACTGAACTATTGGTAACAAGTTTGCAGACAACGCCAAAATACAGGAGCAGTAATCTTGAGACAGCACACTTGCAGCGTGCAAATTGCACTGATATTATTACTTTCCGCTATTGTTATTGCTATTGCTTTTCTAGGCTTCTTTATTTTGTATATTTCGTCGCAGCTGGAACAATTGCGCAGTAATTTTATAAGAATTGTTATAATTTCCATATATTTATTCTCTCATTCATTTTTTTCGGGTTTTGATTATTTCACTTCATTTTAAAAGAAAGACCGAAATAAGTAATCCACGGTCAACTTATCGCTAATTATTACTAATTATTCGAAGCAAACTTTATTATAGATGATCCGAGATATGAGGTTGTGACTCGAGAATTGGAAATAATTAAATCTGAAATGAACAGGATTAAATTAGATATCGATATGCTACGTTTGATGACCTCATCGTCAGACACACCTACTTGGAACGCATCCTCATTGCTGTATACTCGACTAGAGCACATCGAAACACAAATTAATGGTATTGCTGACAAAGTACAGGTATAACTCTACTTCGTGTCTTTGTTAATATTAAAACTATATTCATATTGACTAAAACATTTGATTTTTTGAAACGGAATTATTTTCCACAAAAACTAGGAAATATTTCTGTTTTAAAAATTTTTTTTCCAGGAAAAGCTCAACGATCACTTAGAAAATGATACCCTCAACTTGATATCGGTTTGTCACTTATCTTTTTCTTATCGCAAATATATCAAGAAAAAACTTTTCCCAATATGTTTAGTTTCATGTATTACACTGAACACATTAAAACATTTAAAAGGATATTGTGCGTAAGTGTATGAAGATTTATTTGAATAAGATTTTTACTAGTACATGTGATTTTCTAATGCTTTAAAACATACATTGCAGTATCCTGATATATAAACCAGGTTTAGTAATTCAGATTATCAATTCCTTCATCAGGTGGTTGATCGCATTGATGTGTAGTATGAAATATATCATTCTTATTAAGCACTCCTTCCTCAAATACGCACTTAATGACTATACTATTTAACATCAGAGAAATATTTCTGAATTTGCACATGGCTATTATTTCTAGTTTTGACTGGATCTCAGAAATTATTCAAATACTGCATTTATAAGTTGAGATGGAACTTGTCTGTTCATTTTAACAACAAAAAACCGTGATGGAGGAGAACAGAAATAGGGGCGGAAAGAAATTTCATTTTTATTTAAGGATGTGAAGTGAAAAGTGACTGGAGTGGTTTTCCAAATGGGAAATTTTTTTTCTCACTCCATTTCCCGGGAAGGGAAGAAAGAGTAAGATGGATATGGCAAGTAATAAATACATATTTCTTTTATTTTTCTTTGGTAGATTATCAAATAATTGAGACCATTCGCGAAGATGAGTAGAAGAAATTGGATGAAATCGAATTGTAATAAAAGTGTTGGATGGAAAAAGGAGAAAATAGGGTACAGAAAAAAATTTCATTTTTATTTAAGGTAATAAACATACATTACTGCTTGTTTAAATCAGCAACCTTATTTTTCAGTTTTTTTATTTACCCATTTCTGCTGGCATATTAGAAGCTTTAAAATACTGGACAATACCATTATTCATTAAATAGTAGGGACTACTAATGGCAATGGAAGTGATAAGAGAAGGTGCAAGTATTTCAATAATGGAATACTTTTTAGGAACAAATCAGTGTGGTAGCAAATGCTTGCATTCAAGGATGTGGGGTCGTTTCGAAGTTGGTTGTATCTAATAATGGGACGAAATATACCCTCGATCCAAACGGCGAAAAATTAAAAAAGAAGCGTTCTAAGGTACCTCAGTGGTTTTCTACTCGTGATATTCCTGTTGTATTCACCAGAGCCAAGCATGTATAGTTCATGTTCTCTATATATTTATGTATTAAAATATTTGTTGCGATACTTTCCAGATCACTCTTTCATTGAAGACTACTGCTTTCTATGCTGTAGATAATATAAATTTGTGCTTTTGAGATGCTTACAAATGAATTTTCTATAACAAAAGGGAAAAGAAAGGAGAGTACAAAGTGGAAAGAGGAAAAATCAATGAAGCTATATTTATAATATATATCCCTAATGGGCAAAATTCCTATTCCGATCATCGAATCGTCGAACGGTTTGTATTTTTTGAACATACATGCATTTTTGGATGTCCTATTGTAGATTATTAATATATGTCGATCAAGTAAGATTTGCTTTGATTGATGTGCAAATAATATTGTTGCTGTGCTGTTTGTTGATCATGTTTTTCTTTCAACATGTTTAACATATAAGAAATTATGCCATACATCGAAGTTTACAGAAGAATATTGAAAGAGAATGTTTGTAACTTGTTTATAAACTTTATTGTTGGGCGGAAGGACATATAGTGAACGTGCTGCTATAAAAAGTATTATTGTTGCAAAAAAAAAATCTGCCTAACATGCGTTATCGTAATGCGCCTTATTCCAGTAACAAAAAATACTAGCGGAATGACATAAAAATAGGGTATTGTATAGCTCACGAAAGTGTGAAGTAGTGGAAGTGAATGTTAGTTGTGATCACTTCTACGGTTGTCTTCAACATTCGAACTTGCATAGTGTTTATTCTGTGTTTCGAGCAGCAAGCTGTCATTCTTTTTCACTGTTTCGAGCAGTAATCTGTCACTATTAGGCACCCGTAGGATATTTTATTAATAACTTCCCTTCAGAAAATTAAAAGCAGATAATTGTTAATCAGTTCCATGCATGCAATACATTACTAAATACTCAGATGGGACATTTTGACTTTTAATTGTTTATAAAAATTCAGTTCAACTACTTAATTTTCGAATCAACATCGCAATATGTTTACATTTCATTCCATTCACTTTTTATTAACAATGAAAACAGAATAAATGTAATGCGTGAAATCAGTAAAGATGAAACTGAGGGGATTTCAACTCAGATGAAGGAATTAAAATTTCCAGTTGTTCATCTAACAGATTGTCTTTATATGAAATCTGTAAAAGATAACAATACAGACCAAGTAAGGTCGGAATTCATTCATCCATCTTTTCCGACTGATTGTATCGTTATCTCATAAATGTCACTGATATTTGACCATCGTAAACTGTCTAAAACACTGCAGATACAAACATATCTTTAACTAACTTCTTAAGAGAGATGGGATAGCTTGTAGTCCATTTCTACTTCTTTCATTTTTTAAAATCTCATGTATTTTGCACATGAATTATTTTGTCAACAACAATATGTTGAGGACTAAGAATATCTCATGATAGATGAAGTTTTTTAGTGACAACTTCGAAAGTTAAAAGCGTTAACGAAAGAAGCTTTACTTTATGCAAAAGATAATCGATTATTCTGTATGTTTTAATTTACGATCGCCATACTTGAATAAATGTGCAAGCTGATCTCGATATCTTAATTTGCATATATGCAAGGTACAACAAGACATCCAATTATATTGCATTGCCATTACCTATCCAACATAGCAGCAACTAATATTGCTGCACATGTACAATGCTATAAAACACATTTCTTCAATAAAAGTTAATTAAATTCAGAAATTAATTAGTTGATCAATATCATTTTCAATATTCATTTTTGTTATGGACATGATTTAAACAAGATTTAGTATCTTTGACAAAAGAAAATCGCTCAGTTGCTTTATTTGTTTCAAACTGGAAGTATTACGAAGAAATAGCAACGTGGTAAATAAACTTTGTTATGCAACAAAAAGGTGTAAATTGATATCTCTTTTTCTAGTAATGTGTTTGCAACCAAATACTGTGAACAAAAATACGGTATGTTCCGTAAATTGTTCTGCCATATATTCGGCTTCCGACAAAAATAAAGGATACATGAATCTTTTTTCTAGTTCTTTACGGTAGTAGAGTTACCACATTAGCTATCAGCAATTCGTTTACCGCTTTACTTCGAATAGTTCATTTGAAACAAATTTCATCGAACAGTTCATCTTTCCATTATCAAATAATTTTTCTGTATCTTTCACAGTATAATAATGAAAAGTTCCACTTACTGTGATCATCGAGTTACGCATCTCTCATATTATCGAAAATTAATTCTGCAATAATTAACAATTTAAAATTTAATTTTAATCCTTCATATTCAATGCATAAATTACCGAGCACTTCACGTGGATAATTTATCATTTCTGACCTTTCTTAACCTCTAGCAAGTGATACATAGCAATAACAGCTTTTCTCTGTTCCAATGATTCATTTCTTCGTAAATTCAGTTGAAATATTTGTATGTAAATCACTCTGACCCAACAATTAATAAAAAATTGTTTTGTGTGTTTCCCCCTAGAAAAGCCATCATCGGAGAGGATAGTATTTTATCAAAATTTTATTTATAAAAACCGGAAAGCGGAAAGAAGTGAGAAAGAGATTGAATAAATCAGAGTTATAGCTCAAAAAGGTATCATTTAGAAGAACGAAGCTTGCAAAAAATTTTGATTGCTAGTAAGAGATGAACGAGACATTACTTTAACAGTTTATCATCTTCAGCGATAATGATCACATTCAAATCATATGATTGTTGTGATTTAAATTAGATAGAATGCGCTGCCTTAAAATTACCGAATCTAAGACCACATTTTGAAGGATGCAGAATGGTCAAAAAAAAGCTCTGAATTTCTACAATAGAAAAGACCAGAGAAGACATATCGGAGAAGAGCTAATATAAGATTACTACGAGCAGATAATTTCAATGAGCACTGGTTTGATCTGAAATCTTTAATTATATCGAAGAGACTGAGAAGAAAAGTCGAATATCCAATTATTCCTTAATGCCATATATTTCATTCCTTCAGAAATTGATTCGCGGCTTGTCAATCAATTAAATTGCCTCTCGTTTAACAATTAAGACTAACCATGAGATTATTTTAAATCATTTTCACCTCCTAATTCAACCTCAAATTCATGGTTGATTGAAATCAATCAAATGCACAGATTTTTCTCCTTTTTTCGATTGATTCGCCTTCTCTAAACAGCACACGGAACTAATATTGAGGAGTGGGTGAAATTTTTCAAAATGTTATTTTGTAGTATAACAATGATGGTATATAACCACTATTTATATATATATATGGCATATGATTTAAAGAGAAGATAATAAGCATAGCATGCACATGCAGTCTGACCTTCACACATTTTCCAAATTCTGTTCTCATCTTTCCCGTCACAACCATTTTCTCATCTGCAGGACATACATTTTCGCATCGTCACTCCCCATTGGGACGAGTTTTATGGCATAGCAGCCGGCGTATGGTCGAGTATTCAGGCTGGGCTGTGTACTGCGGATCGGCTTATATCGCGAGAGGGGAGATATTCAGTTTGGTCGCTGTAGCTGCCAGTTGCGGTGGGTACGACTCGGTTCACTCTCACTTTCAAGAGCATGTTGTATTCCATTTGATGTGTGAGCATTTTATTATAGGGTTGTTTTCCTGCTTGAACATATAAATTGCAATGATTGAATCTTTCAAAATTTTTCCCATATTTAAGATGTTAACATTGTAATAGCCATCACGATTATTACTGCAGTTGAATCACAGGAGATGACCGACGAGGACCATTCCGATTCTCGAACCGAAGACGACTATGAAGAAGGCGAGGAAGCATATGATGATGAAGGTAATAATATTTAACTGATTCTGATCATGATTTAAAGTCCTTTTATATAGTATGTCAGAATGTGGCGAATTCTATTGCAGTTTTCACCGGATTTGCAGGCACTTTGGATGAAGAGGAAATGCTGCATCCAGAAGATAACTACCAAGATGAGCTCAAAATGTTAGAAGATGATGCTAATTTATCCATTGAAGAACTGCGACAGAAATACTGTAATGCCGTTGTGGAAGAAGAGTATGATGATACGCAGTCCACATCAACATCAGATGATACCCGTAAGTCCGAAAGTACAGATGATGCTACTGCAAATCCAGACTTTACAGAACCAGGTAGTATTTCTCTCTTTGCACTTCTCTCATTTCCTGTATCCATAAGCTTTAGAACGTCTTCTCTTTATGTTAACCGCAGACACCCAATTATTTCTAAACTGTAAGATCCCTTGAAAGCAAAATTTGTGGAGTTGATTGGTATACCTACCATATTTTCTGAAGTTATAAAAATCAAAATTTTGGACTGAAAATTTGCAATTTTCTTTCTTTAGATGTGGTCGCATCGCCGGTTATATCTTCCAAAAAAGGAAAAAAAGAGCATGGCTACTTCTCTGATGTTGATGATAATGAAGAGGACACTGATTATGTGCCACCTGATCGTTGGCGAAGGATTGTGAGGCAAGGACCAATGTATCAAGCCTCTGTTCCTGATACAATATCGACGGGTCCCAAAAGTCCACGTGAGATAATTTCAGTACTTGTTTTTTGTAACAATCGATTCTCGTAACTAATTCGTAATTAATTACGAATTTTCAATTTTATACAGGAGGAGAGCTTGAAATGCTTTTGTGGTCACCTCATACTGATGTATCAATGAAGAAAGTGGAAGAATATTTGAAAAATTATTACGATAGGGTACTGCAAAGCAGTGATTCATCTCTCCTGGCTGAAGCGCGTAAACCTGGGAATTCAAATCGAAGTTTCCCTGTAAAAGATGATGAAGATGCTTTGAAGTAAGTTTATGTATGTGTTGAGGTAACAGCTTTCTTCATTCTCTGCTTATTGTTTTTTGCTTGATCAAATGGTTTATTATTTATTCAGAGCTCTGTTGAATGCCAACTATAACACGAGCATGGCATTGGCCAGTTATCCATTTCCACGCGCCAATGCCCCTCTGAAGAGCGTTGGACCAAATCCTGCCAAATGGAATGATCAGGTTCGAAATTTCTTTTTCTGCAGTTTTAGATGTAAAAAACTGGTATGATCACTAGTTTGTTAGTACATCTGTATGCATTTAGGACTGCGAACTTTTCGAAAGAGGTATGCAGATGTATGGGAAAAATTTTTGCCTTATCAAACGATTGGTAAGATCTTTTACTCATTTATTTACTTTTTCATGGAAGTTAATTGTTTTGAAGTTTTCTATAATGAGACAAATGTAGATATGTGTTTTAATACTTGGCTTTTTTTGTCAAATTTATTATCAAGTTACGTACATAATTTTTCAGCATGATTCTTCCACTTAATTTTTTAATTAAATATCCATGTTTTTAGTATTATTTTTACTTACGATTTAATTTTTATTTTATTCCTTCATTGTACATCCTTAAGTTCGTTATTTGTTATTCATCTTGTTTATTTTTCTGATATGTTTGCGCATCATGTTACTCCTTTCTAAATGTTCAAATATTTCGAAATGAGTTCATTTATACATTCCTTGCAAAAGTACTGTCCTCATCTTACTAAAAAATTTGTGGATGTGAAAGGAGGAATGATATTTCACAACACGTTCCATGCAGCAAAATGCAATATGCTGAATCAGTTCCCTCATTCGAAAGTTCACTTTTCAGTTACCTCATAGGACTGTTGGTGAAATAGTACATTTCTACTATATTTGGAAGAAAACAGAACGTCATGATATGTTCCAAGAACGAATTCGAGGAATAAAAAACCAAGACAATCCCAACTGCACGTATGTTTATTTTCATTCACAGTAACTCGCACCATTATGGTACTTCCAGAGCATGTACTAGCCAGCTGAGGTCTTTAATTTTTTCATTCACATTTTGGATGATTATAAATTATAATGAAATAGCCATCCTGGAGGATTATACGTTATAATGACAATTCTAAATATGTACTGTACGGAAATATATATTTTGAAATTTGTGCCACTCATTATTACCAGATATCATATCTCAAAAATGTTTCAGTGATTTTATGGGAGGATTAATGGATCACATGGATGGAAGAAGCGGTGGAAATGTATTGGATATAGCGGCTAATACAGTTCCGATTGAAATAGATTTGATAAGTAAGGATTGGGATTGGAACAACGAAGAAGAGAGTACCCTCCCTCATCTGGATAGCGATACGATTGCTAACGTATTACAATGATGCCTTTTGCTGCAGAACAATTATTTATTGTTTGTGATCTCCTCAGTCTTTTGTAATGCATTTCCTCAAAGCATTCAGTTGAACGTGATTGTATACATAATAGGTTTAGGAGAATAGATGTCACGCATACGAGCAGTACTGTGGCATGTTGTGACACATGCTCGTCGGTTTCAAATAAGTAGAACTTTTGCAGCTTTTACAAATGTTATCTCATTGTTTCTGTTCTATCCATGTACAGTTTTCGTTAATTTTGTAATGCATCTAAAGGTGGGATATTGAACATAACTTTATTTTTTTGCAGTATTTTTATTTATAATTTTTCATTATCAACATGTAGAAATCGTTACAAAAGAATCCATTTCTTAGGTGGAACTCATGTCTTAACGCACTTTACTCCAAAATAGTTGTTAGATCAAAAAACTGCGGCGTTGCTTCCAATATGCTAAAATTAACATCGGCTTCATTGTTTACTGGTTTACTGATAAAACTTTAAACATTGTGATCTTTATTTAATTCATTTCGACTATATCATAGCATCGCAGAAGTTAATATTATACTTTTTCCGGTGGTTAAGTTGATTTTGATTTTGTTATAATACGTAACAGTTTCTTGATTAATAAATGAACTTCTTCCATATTTGAACACTTACTGGAGGAAGACAGCAACGTTGAGCAGGTGGGATTTTTGCGTCTGTAGGAACTGGGTATTGAATAAGGTCGCGAGATATGAAAATGGAATTGAATTAGATGCTGTCGAGGTTCTACGAGCTTGTAACTTATTGATTGCAGTTCCATCTCTAGGCGATGATGCGGTAATCAAAAGCGGAATGTATGCAAGATGTAACAACATGGAGCGGGCTTTTCGCTGCTGATATGGAGAAGCATTGGAAGTCTGAGTGCTATATTAACTTGAATAGATAAACAATGCCTACATTGCAGAAAATTGAACTGTTTGCAGCATTAATAGTTTTGATTTACTGGAAAGACCAAAACAATACAGCACCTGACGCAGGCGAATAGATTGCGCCACTGACGATGGATGCGCCACAGAAAGGGTCCAAACAATTCTGTGATCACTGATATTTAGGAATTGGTCAAATTACCTGCTGTTCATGTTAAGTTGTGTGCTCCTACTACAAATACCTAATTGGTGAAATGCTTGGACGATCCTGGCTTCACTCGTCTTCATTAATGTTGGGCACTTCGAAGATTCATCAGCAGCAAAAAGGCGCATATTCACAATTTGTTACTGTCCACAAACATGAAAAGTGATTTTTAAATGCTAAAAAGCTTGATCATTAAGAATGTTTGGCATGAATAACAAGAGATGTGGATGACATGAGTCATTGTAGCGGCCTCAACTGAATTGGAACGTATCGGCACTAATCAGTCTTATCCGTTTCCGTAACAAAACATTTTTTATCTAATTATGGAATACCGCTATTTACGATTATTACGGCATGATATCTGACATTTCGTAAATGTCATTTAAGTTGCTTTGAATCGGTTTACTTTTCCATCTAAAAAAAGTGCATAACATGCAGATCGTAATAGAAGAGGACTAATATTCACAAAATGATAAGGTCGAGAAGGAAGTCAGATGGTCTTCGTAGTCATTCATTACGTCTCACCATATTCTCAAAGCAAAGTCAAGTCCGACTCTTTTCTCATTTCCTCTTTTTCAAGCTCTCTGCTGGCAATCAAAGAAAAGAGCTATCTACATTTGCATTAAGTTCAAAATAATTTTTCAAATTTGAAGTATAAATTATTGAGAGTATTTTAATTGTTGGATCTACGACCTCTACGCCTTGCAACGACAGAATCATCGGCGTGTCATACTCATCGAGGACTTGATTCTCGCGTTATTTCTATTAAATTGCCTTTACAAGAAATGATTTCATATCCTTTTTCAAGACACCCACGATTTTGCCTCACGACTTTTATTTTTATTGGCGGGAAAACGGTTTTCGTGAAACATAGAGAAAACCTAAAATTCGAAACTGTAATAATCAATTCTGCAGTTCATCATCGTTGCCAATCACACAAAAAGATTAAATATAAAGCTTCATTTGGGGGAAGATTTTGATTTAATCCGACATTTAGCATAGAATCCGCTTCCACCAAGCAAATAAAAATTTCTTATGTCTAGATTGAGACTTGTATTTTGAGTTGTTCGTGTCCCAAGAATGTTTCTTACTCGACTTTTCTTGTCATCAAGCCTCGATATCGATGGCAAACTAACGCACTCACCTTTGTGTAATTAGTGTGTAATTTCTGTGTAATGTGTAATTTCCTGTACCATTGTAAATTATCCTTTGTTGCGTTCAGTATGCTAACTGACTACATCGTTACTGAGCAATTTTACTTCACAAAAAAATTACTTTTCTAATTCACTTTCGAAGGCAGTTTATCACAATTTACACCAAAAATTGACCAATTTGCTTCTAGGAATGCAAAACAAAACAAAAGAACAAAGTATCTTTGACAATATAAGAATGCAATCAAAGGAACTAGGACCTAAGTCTTCTGAAATGGATGAAACACAACAGAAAAATAATCGTTTCAAGATGAGACATGAATTTTCAATTCTGCTGTAACACCACTTTCCCACAGTCGTTTCGTTTCTTTATCCAAAAAGTTTACAGAAAATTCCATCGTACAACTCTGAAAATATTCCCTATTTTATCGGAATGAAATCCGATCATGATTCACTCTGTAACAAGAAATTTGGAAATAACTGAGACCGGTCAGGAAACAAAAAAGAAGCTAATCCTCGTGTCCAATTCATCTTATGTATTCCATGCAAAATATATGTCATTCACCTGCGGAAATGCAAGAAGAAATTGAGCATTGAAGAATTTCCCTTCCTGCGGCACTACAGTTTGAAGTTGTGAACAGTCCTTCTGAATACAGGATTTAAAAAACGTGAAATTTGCTGCAAAGCAAGTTGAAAAAATCGTTCCATTTCTTCCATAACGAAGAAGCTCTACTTTTTATAATAGTGCTTTATTTCAAAATAATTTTAAAAAGTCAAATTCATCAAAATGACTTACACTGGAACCTTTGGCGAACTTTGCTATTGCTTTCACAATGACAGCATCGACAGAAGATGCGTGCGACGATTCAATTGCGCCTTCAATGGAAATTGGTACTTTTTGGTTAGAAGAGACACCGATAGCAGTCTCTGTTGGTCCTGGCTGCGGTAAAACATTCAGCTTAAATGTAGAATGTCAAATTTCGTACAAAATATTTGCAAGATTTGAAATAGCTTTTATGTGAAATTCCCAACGTAGATATTTGTCGAACTTTCAAAAAACAAACCTTTATTTGTGTATGTTTAAGTTGTTGGAAAAAAAATCGTGGAATACATATTGGAAGACCACACAAGTAACCAAAAGTATCCACAAGAAATTTTAATTTCTGAAATGAGCTTTATGGATTTAGAGTAACCACTTAGATGCGCATTATAATACATATAAAACTCTTTTCAAAAAAAAGAAACTTGGAATAAAATTGAAAAATGTAAGTTATATTAATGAGAAAACAGTACTTGTCTTGTTAGCCTCTTTTCCAGAGCTATAATATCTAGCTTTTCAATTTCTCCTTTGGCCCATAGGAGTGAAGTTCGTAAACACTTATTCGCTAGCGAATAGTGGGAAGAAGAAGATATCAATAAAGGACTGAAAATATTGCATGTGACTACAGAAGCAAAGTAAGTTCAGGAAAATATTTCGGAGACTTTTTAAAAAAATAAAACTCCTTGAATATATGATTAGATTTCTATGGTAATCTATCTGGTCCTAATATATTTCCAATTTCAGAGTCATAAAATCAAACCAGTGCATTGTGAACAAAATAACACAATTATTCACGAGCAAATCAGTCTGTTGAGCAGGAATACAGCATGAAGCAGACTTTTCGCATCATCGTAAAAAATCCCAAAACAGTTGAAGAACAAAAAAGAACAAAAACAAATTCGACCGCATTATAAAAAAATTCTTGCATTTGAAAGAAGAGAGAACTCGTCCCTGAGATGATACAAAACTGTATCATCTCGGCAAGGAGCTCGGAAATTACTTCCACATAACAAGTGACATCAAAAATCGCTAATCGCTAATCACGACTGAATCTAACGTAAAAGCAAAAGATATGTTTGGAAGATCAAAATAGGATACGAACAGACTTGAAAAGAATTGAATGAATTCCAAATTGAATAATTATGTAACAAGTACAAATCATAAAACTAACGACAATGGTTGCTGCTTTGCGAACAACTGTAAAGCAGCACCGAATAAAGCACACATACCACCATACAGCTCTACGAAAGTCATAGTATTAGTATCTGCATCAAAGCAATGCCTGTACAAGTCCAACCACATATCGCGACATCTATGCATTCCTGAAAGTTATAAATCTTTGTCAAAACAATATTGCCCGTAAAATCTAAAATAATTGAAGATATCAAATATTCTCAACCAGAAAAATTCAATCCATTATAGGAAACAAAATCTGGACTTACTTACTGCACAAGCTTGCAAACGAATTGAAATTTTCTTCACAACATAAGGAGCTGGTTTATCATTAAGAGATAAATTTGTATTTACAACAACCAAAAAACTGCGTAGAACTGCGTACATACTGCACAAGCCATCCACAAATCGCAATGGGAACATGAAATAACATAGGGATTCTCGAGATGAGCACAAGGCCTAAAATATTCAAATTAAAAAAACATTTCAAATTGAGCAGTTGATTTAATTACATCGTGCAGTTATTTATGATTCGCAAATAACAAAAACAAAATACTACAAACGCACAGAAAGTGATAATCGAGCACTATTGAGATTTTCAATAGACTTTTCCAAAGAAAAAACTGTGAATTCAGAAAGTGACGCACGACAGATATCTCGTAAAGCTATTAGCCACATTCTGGTTTGGAATGATTTTACCTGAAACAGCATTTGAAGCATCATAACGTCATTAAAAATGGAAAAAAAACTTAACTTACGCAAAGAGATATAGACCGGAAAAAAACTGAAAAACATAAAGGAATGGAAAATAAAACTTAAGAGCAAATTACTTTAATACAAATGGATTAGAATATATCAAAATATGACACGAGGTAAAAGTGTAAATAATTACTCAAAGCATAGGATTAACCTTTTTATGAATTACGTCCAGTATAGGAAGAGCAACCGACTTCCAATGTCCGTTTCGCATAGCAGACCGAGCAACTAGATAAAGAACCCATGGATCATTTCCCCAAAAATCTAAGTGATTTTTGGGGAGTCCGGTTACGTCGCTCAATGGAGCATATACTAAGCACGAAAAGAGCTGCAACAAAATCATTTGCCTGTTGATAATTTAAATAATTATCTTCCATCAATTCAAAATAATACTGCCAAGTAAAAATGCAATTGCAACTTACAGTCAATTTCGTTAAATTTGTATTTTCATTCAATTTTGATATAGACCACGCACGAAGACGAGCATAAAGATGCGAGTGAGTTTCTGCAGCTGCTACTAAGAATTGTAACACATGCAAAGCTGAAAAATTCGGCAGTTCTGTGTTCAAGAGAGTGTTCACTACTGCATCCACAGTTTCACGTGGGCAAGTATCGTCGCATATGAAGGCAGTCAAAAGGCGATAAAACTAAATATCAGAATACATTAGTGGTTATATAATTATATTAAAAATATGGTCAACAAAATAATTTCTCAAATCAATAGAATATCCACGCAAATGAAAGAGAACATGAATTATTTATAATTGTTGACTGATAATACAAAATTTTTTAAATCTCTGATCATATATATAACTTAATTTAAATTTGAGCTTACTTTTTCGGAATCTTGAGATTTTATGGTTGGCAGTGATATAATAAAGGAGCTTTTCAGGGAGGATATAATATCCGGTGCCTGACTATATTTGTATATATTGATATATAAATGCAGAGCCGCAAGTCGAACATCAGCATTTCTACTCGATAAAAGATACGTCCAATGCGCTATGTTAGCTGAAAAATATAATTTATTCTTTATCATTAACCCTGCCATCGTCTTGAAATCGGAATGGTTTCTTTTAACACCAATTAAGTACATAATTTTTAATGAGTAACACATTCTTAATAATATCATTCTTAATAAAATACCTGAAAGCGTTGCAGTAATTTTATATATATTTTGTGACGTAAAACGAACAAGAGTTGCCAACCAATAAACGCGCATCAAGTCGTCTGTTAACGTGTCCCCGAAGCTCAGCAAGTCCTAACGTAAAAACTTCATATTATATTAGAAAAAGTACGATTTTGGTTGAATCATAAAAGGAATAAAATAGCCGTATTTGACGTATAAATCAAAAGAATAGAGAGGTAATGTCCATTGCTTTTTAGAAATTAACAAAACTAACATGCATGTGAGATTCCGTAAGCATATGTGAGGCTGATGACAAGCGTTTAATATTGTACAGAATGGCAACACAAAGAGTTCGATTTTCCTTGGATATTTTCAGCTTTTCTATCAGTAATGTTAACTGAAAATAAAATGCAATTATATGAAATGCGCCTTTTCAAACAAATAAAAACAGAGCAAAATCTTTCAGATCAAATGCAAATTATTATTTATGTCATCACCAATTCAGAGACGGCGAATTTACAAGAAACGGCTAATGTAGTGAGCGATTTGATAAGTGCTAGTATCAACTGTTGATTGTATGCTTCATTCAATATCCGTTCACCCAGCGCAAATACTTTCATAATGATTTCTACGTCAGCTTGCATGTTAGCGAATACACCAACCAAACCGATCTTTGTCACTGGCGAAACAAGTGGCGACAAAAACGTAACGCAAAGTTTCTCAAATACTGTTTGCGAAAATGATCTGAAGGTTAAAAACAAAATCTTGAAATAATTTCCGACTTATAAACAAATTTTTAAGGATCCTTGCCAAAATTTTATTTAAAATTTTCAAACTTTTCAAAAGCTTTCTTTTAAACAAAACTTTTATTGTATACATTACAGATGCAAAATATACCTGGAAACAGCAACAAATGCTTCACTCGCCGCAATGGCTGCCAATCGTTCCTGAGCTTCCTCAGAATCGATACTTGTAACTACCAAATGATGCACCTACAGTACAATCCACATACTAAGAAATATCAAAAAATAAGAATTATCTGAAGGAAAGTTTTTCCCAAAATATTCATTTATTCCTGCACCATTACCTGTTTATTTTCCGCCACAACAGAAGCTAACTTAGCGAGTATTTGAAGCGTAAGTGAGCGAGCAAGTGGATCATTTGAATGGGATACTTTAAGAACGCGCCGAGCAACTTCATCATTCGAGAAAACAAGTCTCAGTTCAGTAGAACATTCACCCATTACTCGCACAATACATAAGCGCAGTTCGTTGCATCTGAAGTATGCATTATGTATAAATGAATAAAATGTCTGATTTAAGCTCTATATTTAATTATAAAAGTTGAACGACTAATACAGCTTCCGCCTTAAAAAATCCCCTTTCGAGACAATTTAGTTAATGAGTCGAAATGATGATGGCCATTCCAATGATGATTCATTTCAAAATCAGCTCACTCATCACGAAATGCTTCACAAAGTCGAAGGACAGCTGCATTAACGAAAAAAGGGAACGGATTGTCACGAAGAAATGTCGTCATGTTGACAATCGTAGCCATCTTCTCATGCAGCGTACGTGAGCGCAATCCTGAAAAATAAAATTTATTTCGCAATACTGTATTATTATCATTATGTGATTCACACGGTATATGTTCAATATGTGACTTTTTCGAATTTTTGACTTTGAACCTCAAAAAGATGTCCATTTTTTGAATGGTCCCTCGAAATTTCAGATAACTCATTGGTAAGCAACTAAGAACTGACATCTTCCCGAAAGCGTATTACTTGTGTACATGTAAATCCGCAGTTTCTTTGTTCTTTTTTATCCCTTGGTGAACTATTTTTTAATTATAGAGAACACTAAATTGTATTACAAATACTAGTCCACATGATTTCAATTCGCAAAGTCATTTTGCCAAAAGATCTCACCTTTTTCAAGTGTATTCAAGGTCATATGACTTCTAGTTGATGCATCCATTTTATATCAATTAATTTATACGACTGCAAGCCTACCAAACTCGCAGTTACGAACTGCCTGCAAAACTCATTGCAGCTGTTAACGTAAAACAAAAAATTTCAAGCCTTGTAATAAAAAAAGAAAAATGTCGAAATTATCGACAAGCGTTCTGAAATGAATGCAAGGACGAGAATAACATAAAATTTTCTCTGATCACTCTAACAAAATCCCATAACAGTCACATAACACTCGATTTTTTTAGGAAAAATGAATCGAATAATTATGTTACTCCTATGACTGGACAAATTGGAAAATTGAGAACAACAACAATATATTAAACAATGGAATGAGTGAAGAAAAATATTATCGTAATTATAATTTTATGAACCAATAGTCAATTCGATTACATGAAAAGTCACAAATAATAAAATGACAAAAAAAATATCAGAATTCTGCTATTTTTAATAAGCACCAAAATTGGTATATTCTGAAATTTCTCACTAAATAAAGAAAATGATTAGATGAATAAGAACGTTATATTCACATGAATTGATAAATTAAAAAATTACTGCAAGAGAAAGAAACTGATTCTAATGACAAAAGCCATCGCGATATCTAGCAAGAGGTCAAACTCACTACTGAATCATTTAATGCTATTATGAACAATTTAACCAAATTTTCAAATATAAATCGAACAGCTCCATTCTACACATAACGTATGGGTATGGGCGATACGTATAATGTACTTACTAAGATCTGTTCGATTCGATAATATAACTGCAGTTTTACCAAAGTCAAAATTCTGCATTAAAGCACTGGAAATATCTTGAAATTTAATCGTATCATGATTCCGTGTTGATATCATTGCTTCAGTTATGTCATAGCGACTATGATCATTTTGTGAACAAAAACTCTCAAACATACTTTTAATGTCGTAATTTAATTTTAATTTGATAGATCTACGTGCATGGGAGAGCGATATTGGTTAGTGTCATTCGTTACTAGATTCAACTCTGTATTTTAACTTGAAAGAGAACACATTTCTTAGATCAATTCCCTCGATTTAAGTGTTAACTTGACCCATGTTCATTAGTCACAACTTCCCTAATTTTTATCTCTCCTTGGTTCAAGCTAATATCAATTTGCTGCTTAATACACTTGTAACCAACTACTATAATTAACTTCTTACAACTTATTGTTCCTGAACGAATCTAGCGAACTATCGACACCCAATAAGAATATTATCAACCACCTTCTGTGGAAATATAGATTACGATAAACAAAATATGAAATATGGCCATCACTGGTCGTGTCCTACTTTTATGGTTTTCTGAAAACAGCTAGAACAGCTATATTAATCTGAGCAGGAGGTTATTGGTCTGAATAAAACAGTAAATTATGCATATTATGCATGTTTCTAAAAGACAATTAAAACGCTCGAATCAATATATCATAGTAAAAAGAATGGAAATGCTGACCCTTTGATGGGAATAACAAGAATGTTTCATCGGGAAATTAATACTGCATTATATATGCCACTAATTAAATCAATCGAGAACGAAATAATTTTATACATTTTTGATTTCCATATGAAGCCATATAATTTATGAAAGCATCAATTCAGAAAAAGAAGTAAAGATTATTGAGATCAGTCCAATATAAATAAATAAAGGTAATTCAAAGTGGAGACCAAAAGCATGATATTATTCATCGCACAATTACAATTTAGTATTATTAAACTTCAAATTATTAAGAATCAGAAGGTATATCGCCATTAAACAATAATATTATGTAAAAGTTGTAATATTTATTTGATATAGCCATCATGGCTATATCATTAAATATTACAACTTCATAATGGAGAGTAATCCATAACAGTGAAGATACTATAAATATGAGTGAAGATGCGTTACATTTAACATTAATTTCTTATACTATCATGCTGAAACACAAAAATACAAATTCTCTGAAACAAAAAATGAACTGAAAGAAAGCATACTAAAACCAGGTACTTGCAGATGAAAGATTAACAAGCCTTAATGAGATCAAATAATGTTCTTAGTAAACAAGATCTATCGCGTAAAAATATAAGTAACATTTTCATTTCCACAATCTTTTTTTCATTCCCTGATTTTCGGCATTTCGAAGAGCTGTATACGATCACGACGAGCGAAATCGGCGACTCCTTGAGGAGTAAAGAAAATAAACTGATAAGATGGGTACTGACGAGTGGCAAGGTCTGCGAACAGTTCCATCACAATTTTTCGATTGTTCAAATCCAAGAATACGTCAAACTCATCCATACAACTGAAAAATCCGCTGGTTCCAGGACAACATGAAGCTGACAGCCTGAATTATCTGCACTTAAACTACAGTTTGTCCCATAGAATTAGATATTAATCACAAAACATACCGGATAGGAGTTTCCATAGCCTGCCATAAAGCCATAACGAAACAAGCGGAAGTATAAGTCCGTTCACCACCAGACAATCCTGTACTCAATATCATATATTCATACTATTCAAACATGCGTTTCTTTTTTAACGATTTGATAAATAAACTCTGAATTTCAGAAATGAGTCTTTTTCTTGCTCTCTCTCTCTCTTCCTACATATATATATATATATGCATGTATAGACAGAAAGAGAAAGGGATAGAGTATGTTATGTATCTATGCCTATGCTATGCTTACGCAATGACACAAACATAAACGAGAATAAAATAGTACCTCTTAAATCCTGTAAATTGCCTTTTCCTCGATAACGTCCAAGAAGGGAGACCTGGTTAATTTCTTGATTTTTTTGAGTTTCTGCCTAAACAGCACAATAATGCATAAACCGTTTATCATAAATATGAGACAAATATTATTGAAAGTAAAAAAAGCATGCTCAATGTAATATCTAAAAACGAAAATACCTTCTTCAAAGAAATTACAATATCCAACTAACCATAATATAAATAGCACGATTCTCATGGTTTATAATCAGTGAACCTTTGAAATTCCTTATCGACATCAGACCGCTGTATAATTCACTAAGTCGCTCAGCCGTTAGATTTCGTACTTCCAGGAATTTCTCATTTCTCAACCTTAATCGATTCTTCAGTTCCTATAATTAACGCGCAATAATGAAAACAAATCCATTTCCACCGAAAATTGCTTTGAAAATAATTGGCATACCAAAACGACGCGTTTAGCATTCTTATATTTTTTTCGTAGACTTTCACAATCATTTTGCAGAGCATCCAACGCTTCTTCGGATACTATAGTACCTTCCAAGCTGTAAAAAACATAACAATTGTAGTAAACAGTGAGATTTTTACACAACCGTATATTCCCACTGTCATGACTGTAACACTCGCAAAACCAAAGTCTAAAATTATGACGATCAAGGTCTCAACATTCTTTTTCATATAGTATGTTGAGACTTTGACCATCATAATTTTTCCATACGTATTTCATAACATTGTGACATTCATTCTTTTTATTAAAAATTTCAAAGTTTGAAAATAATGAGATGAACTCGTTTCCCCTTAGCTCACCCTTTTGGTCTACTATAAGTGTTATTTACTCGTTTTCTGAGAAACCACAAGAAGGATAAATAAGTGGGAGAATTGTTTTAGAAATCCGCGTGTAAAAAGAGTGGATCTGCTAGCAACTAGCAATTAAAGGAGTTCGAAAAATATGTAAGCTTTTCCATGTAAGTATAAACGTGATCAGGATTTATCGATTAATATAAGAACAACTGTATGAAGAGATTAACCTGTGCGAATAAGATATTTTTTAATAGTGAAAGATCTATGATAAAGTATGAATTCCACATATACTTGAAATAAGGAAGATAGAAAAACCAGAAAAAAAGGAAATATAATTTATGTAGAGAAAAAAATCATAAGTATATTTTCAAATGTCTGCAGAGCATTTTTTGGATAAATTTACAGTTTTTATCAATGAGTGAGTTAGCAAATCGCCTTAGAAACTTCAAATTTAATGGTATAGTCAAAAAGTTGGAAAGAAAGCATGGAAAAGTAAAGTAAAATGAACCTTTCTCGTGCAGCTTGAATACGATGTTCCAGTTTTCTGCATCGTTCTTCAGCTTCTGCTGTATCTGGTAGATTCGCGAAATCAGGAGGTGCACCAGTAATTAACTCATTAGCTTCTTCTTTCATTTTTTGCAGTTTTTCACTAAAGACGGATTTACTTAAATATAGTAAAAAAGTAAAATAGCAAAATTTCACTCAATTAATTTGAAAGCTTTACTCACTTCAATGCTTTCACTTTCTCCTCCAGACCACTTTTATGGATTTCCAATTTTGATAACTTTTGACGATGTTCATCCTCAGAGACGTTCATCATATCGACTTCTCTACTACATTCTTGCAAATCAGCCTAGAAATGACAAGTAAGTCTTCCGATAACCTTTGAAAAAATTGTTAAAAAAATAATGCAATACAAAATTTTGCCATTGATCGATTTTGTTTGAAAACATCAACTCCAGTCATTTTTAGAAATACATACCTCACTTTTTCTGAGTTCATTTTCGCTTTCCCCCATTTCTCTAGCTTTTTCCGCTCTCACCATTTCTGCATCACGTAACAATTGACGTGATTTAATTAGTTGCTGCTGCAGAATGCTCTCAGATTGCATGAGTTTTTCTTTTTCCCTTCTGTATTGATCCAAACTTGAAACCTAAAAATCGAAAACGATCTATGTTATAGAAGAAAACTACTTTAACGAAATATTTCAATGAGAAAAGATACTTCCGACTATAAGTGTCCTAACCAGATTCATGACTTGACCATCAACACCTCCTTCAAATCGTGCAGCATCTAGTCGTTTTTGTAAAGAACGTCGTCGTACTTCATCGACTTTTAAGCGCTGCAATTCCTGATTGCTTTGCTGCATTTCATTAGTCATGTCTGCCTCTATTTTCTGACGTTTTTCTTGTGCCTAAAATACTTTTTGCAATTGTATAGCTTAAAATGACTTTAAAAATGAATATCTTTTACAGCATACAATTATGGCTTTTTAAATGTTTATTTTTTGTTATGTACTCTTTCCTCTTCCTTTTAATGCATTTCATTCAAGTCTCCGAGCAAGAACAGAAGATAAAGAAGACCTTTGCTAAAGATACTCTATTACTTCGTAATTCATTTTCTGCTTTTGCTATCTGATCATTAAGCGTTCTGAAATAAAAATTATTTGAATGTTACAAGAAATTAATAATAAAGTTGGCTACATTTCTAAGTTAATGCTCACAAATTGATTTCTACTAAAATATTTCAGCCAAACATAAATTAAGATATTATATGATAATAAAAAGAAAACAGGTCGTTACAAATCACGCGCAAAAAATACCTGGTATTAGCTATCTCATTGCTGGTCAATATAGTTGACTTCTGATAACGCTCATTTGCATAAAAGCGATATACCTGGTTACCCATTTTTGCGAATACTTCATCACCATTTTTGGTAAAACCTTTATGAACGTTTTTCGGAGGCTATAAAAACTTAACTGATATTTCAACTAGCGTTACTTCGATATCATAAATTTTAACTTAAATGTTAACAAAAAATTATCGCACACAAATTTGAGAGAAATTTTTAGCATCCAAAAAGCCAGAAGGTTTAATTCACAATATAATTTACGATTCCATATATACACTTTAACCTACACTTTGCGCCATCAAGCTACGCGCTGCACTAGCAGATGGGATCAAAAGAATAGATTCCATCTGCGTCTGATCGACCAATACATTGAAAATATTGTCATCTGTAACAGTTACCATTCTCGCTACAGTCAAATATTCTGACGATGGTTCAAATAAAGTTATGTTATATCGTCTCTCCGAAAATCTAAAAAAATCATGGTTTGAAATGTAGCAGAAACGTATGAGTGGGAAATAATGAATAAATATTCAAGACGCAAAAAAAAGTACTTGCTGATAATATATCCTGCAGCACGAATATTATATTTTTGCAGAATCGAATCCAGAATATTTCTATCCTGTACATTATCACATAACCAAACTGAAAGCAAGTGACGCAAACAGTATTCTACAGCCAATGCCCAGGATTCATCGTTTATCCGTATATAGGCACCTGGATTTGTAAAGTTAAATTTTCTCCAGTTTTTGCTGATTTATCACGCTTATGTTGAAAAAATGTAACTTATTTCTCCCCCTAATTACAAGTATGAAACGTTACCTATATCGCAGTAGCACAAATTCCAACAATTAAATAAACAACTATGTAATAATAACCTATAGGTCCAATTGGTTGTTTTGAGAATTTAGCAATATTTTGTTTGATTAAACTGACGATCTGAGGTACCGACGTACCAAAACGAGCTAAATCACTCCGTTGCATTGCCATTAATCGTTCCTTCTCATCACATAGTTCTCGCAACATAGCATTCCAATGAGATATTTCCGCTCTGAAATCCAGATTTGTCACATGTATTTTATTTGGTATAGCTGTTTTAAAATTTCTCTAAACACAATATGGAAATTTAGCTGCTCTATTATGTAAACAAACTTCTCCATACAAACAATACTGCAAAATCAAAGAGCTTTTTAAAACTAAATCACTATGTTTGGGTAAAATAATGGAGAAAACCTACTCAACGCTACGTTCTACTTTTATTGCATTAGCCAACTCTGTTTCAAAATATTTTGTTCTTTTCTCCACTCGACATTGCTTCTCTTTCATTGCCATACATCGATTCTCTAAATGAAATAATTCTGCTTCAGCTTCAGCAATACTATATTGAGTGCCTTGATTTTTCCTGAAAATAATGCATACCCATTAATATACAAGGAAATTTCGAAGTTAACTCGTTTGATGTGTGCACATTAGAAAATTTTGCTTTGAATATAAGAATCTACTTTGCTTCGATCTCCTTTAGTTGTTGCTCCATTGAACCAATCTCAGCGTCTAATATCCTGTGATTTCGTTCTACAGTGCTCAGTTGCTGCCCAACGTCCAACATTTCATCACGTCTACTCTTTTTTTCCTTCCCCAAATTCCTTAACTGCAAATCAATCTTTTATAGCGGGCTTCCTAATGCAGTTTTCAAGAGATAAAGCTTACATTCATGATTCTGGCTATAACATCAAGACCGTTTTTTGATTGCACAAATTTGATTCCAATAAGTAAAAAACGCGAACAAATTTAAAGTTCTTAGCTGCAAATTAGGTATACCTTAAACTGATAATTTTTATAATATGCTCTGCAGCGTAATAAAAAGAGAGCAAATGAAACTGTATAAAAGTAGTGAGCAATAATTCTCAAATTAAGTGAATGACATTCAAATCTGCATTAAATAAATTAAGAAATCATACTTCGATATGGAGATTTTTCACTTTTTCTTGCAATTCATCTTTATTTTTTTGTATTTGTTCAAATTTTTTAAGGTAATCTGCTTTCATTTTCTGAAAGAGAAGTGCAGGCAATATAATAAATCCTTCAGCAAATATAAAAAAAATTACAAAAACAAAAGAGTTCATAAATTTGTTACAATAAGTTAACCTCCTTTACTACAAATCCTTCCTTTAATTTTGTATACACTTCTACAGCTTTTGCCAGCAATTCATTGTGCCTACAGAGATCCTGAAATAAAACAGCGAAATTGCGATTCCACGTAATTAGAATAAAAATGTTAAAAAAAGATTCAACCTTGTGACAATCCCTAATTGGTAGCCAAGGAAGAATGCTTTTTAGCTCTAAGAGATTCTGCTTATTTTGTTCCATATTTTGCGCACGTTTTCGATCTTCACGTAGCTTTTCGATTTCTCTGCAAAAAATTATAGCAATACTATATTTTTGGACCTTCATTTTCAACAGGTTAGAAATTTCTCGAATACAAGGCAGATTGAAACAAACTTCAATTTATCGCAACAAGCTTGTCGAACAGATAGCACCAGTTTTTCCGACTCAGCATTGTATGTTTCGCTTTCACTGTAACACAGTCGAGAGAAATCTAATCCTGTTGCAGACATAAACATCTAAAAATCACATACCATATAATTTTGAAATAAAATCCATCATTTGGAACTGCAAAAATTCATCAAACCTGAACTGATTATTAATCAGTAAATTTTGGCCTCATCAAATGCCATTATTTTTGGAACAATAAGTTGCACATGCAACCCCAAATCACGAGTAGTTTATTTTCATTTATACAGATTCTTTTCTAGTGATTAGTTGAAAGACGTCAGTATTGAATGCCCCTATAATCTTGATAATTAATCATGTATAAGATGAAAGTGTCGAATTTCTAAGAGTCAATAGCAGAACTTCTTATTAAAAATAATGAATAATATACAAGGATTTTTGAATTTTACTCTGAGACTTTTTCTAACCAAAAAGTAAACTAGGAACTAATAATAATTCAAAACATAAAGAGGATTATTACTATCAATATCCCACACTCCCATTTTCTACTTCATGACCGGAATATCAGTAGCTCATTTCTTTGATCTTAAATTTACCAGAAAAGATAAGATTGGGAAAATTCTCCCATTCATTCCTCCGATTAATAACAATAATTATTATTAAAAAAATCAAACATTGTAAAGTTTTTCCGGCTTCAATTCTTGCAAAAATTCACGACATCGGTTTTGGGACATCCAGAATATTGAATTGTCAAGCTGTATAGAGAATCTTGCCAGCAGTTTATCCAAATCACTCTTTTTATGACTTATCACTTCTTCTAAAATATTTTTCAAAAAAGGGAACTTGTGGATTTCCTAAAAATTTAAATTTCTAATGACAAGCGATTAATGAAGTACAAATAAGGAAGAAATGTGAGAGCACATACATCACACAGAGTGCTATAGAGAAGGTGTAAATTTTTTAAAATAAATTGTGAACGAACCACGACAACGCCCTTCTTCATAAGTGAGAGATTTTAATTGATATGTTGACGAAGTTAAATTAATAGTCCGCTCAACAGCAATGGCGTCACCATAACCTGGATATCTCCCGAAGCCACGATTAGTTAGCACTATCCGTATTTTGGCACGACTGCAATCCAAAATCAATTACAGAAACGAGAAATTTCATCGACTCAAAAATGGCAACAATGACAAAAAAATAACAATAGCTGTATAATCATTATTTCCATAACATTTTAAAGACTGTCTGTTGAAACTTGCTAATATCCATATCATAAAAAACAGATTCCATCTAATAGCGCCAAGTTTCATTCTATAATTTCAAAAAGCAAAAAATAAAATGAAATGCCGATATTGTACTATTCAAAATATAAAATGCTGCATAAGTAAAGCCAACTCTCTCACTTTTGACCATCTTTTATATACTGTTTCATTGTACTCCCACGTTCATTCTGGCTTCCTCGACCTCCAAGACCCATATTCAAAGCCGCAAACAACGCACTCTTACCAGCTGAAAATACTCGTATTCATATACCATTGTCTGCATGTCAAGCGAATATTAGAAGTTTCAATAGTTAACTTTTTCCTCAGAAGAAAAAAGATAATTATTAGAAACTTCTAATCCTAAGAAGCTGAGAGCTGTATGTACTGAAACTTTGAAAGTATGCAATAGCCAGCAAAAAAATAGAGTAATATATTTGCTTTATAAGAAAATACGAAAATGATAACGCATTGCCTGTTATGAAAAATACACGTAAGCTTACAGCCGTTCGATCCACCGATAAAAAAACAATTCTTGTTGAGTAGATCAAAACTGATTTTCAAATTTTCATGACACATGAAATTGAATAATTCAACTGAAGCAATCCTTCCTGGCACTTCAATAATTTCTTCATTCAGTGAATACTTTGACGTCTCATCTATAAAATACTCATCTTGCCTATTTTTGCTATTTATACTAAAATAAATTAAGCCAACTTATTTATGTTAAGTTTTTTTTTTCTTACAAACTTTTTCAAAACTTATGGTAATCTATAGTAGATACTTGGAAAAAAAAGAGAACAGGAAGCAAAATAACCTTTATCAGTACAGACAGATTTTTTTAATTTTGATGCGACAGAAAAGCATGAAGTAGGTTGACGTTTTGACGCCATCCTCATGAATTATCTGGAATAAAATATTCACGTGCTTTTCAGATTAACTCAGAGTAATACTTTAGCAAGTCATTCCCTCATATAACTTCCATCCACCCTATCTGTCACATCTCAAATGTTAAAATGATGATGGCAGCATTCGTTCCCGCCCACCGGGACATCCTTCTTCATCTCCTGCTATTTCGCGGCTGGTCGAGTCCGTATATAACCAATATAGGTAATGTAACATCTGTTGAAAGTAATGCCGTGCAGCATTGCGCCTTTAAGTGAAAGGTTTAGCATAGAGAAAACGTTTCTTATCTTTTCCAGTTTTCTAATTAATCATTAGCATTTGATGACTTTATTCGTACGCTGTTCTACATGCCACATTAATTGGTATAACTTCTTCATTACATACTCTTCCTTTCTGGAAGAGATTTTTTTCGAACTGTTTTTTGTTGATTAAACTATAGTTGATTAGGTGTGCTATGGCTGGATTTCATGATAGATAGTTATATATTTACTTTACTATATCAAATTATGATGTACTGGTAGAATTTAGCAGGATTTTTAATATCATAAAAAATGTCGTGAGATGAATTCTTTTGCAGCATGATATGAGAAGTGGATCTTCATGTGCAGAAGTTGTTCGTTCGGTGCTGCTCGCTAGCTGTGATGGCTCAAGAACTAACTTACCTGACGTCAACATCTTCCTAGATTTCGATCATGCTGTACCCTCGGAATCTGAACTGCAGATTTTCACTTTAGCTGAAAAGGTAAGAAGAAAATGATTTGAAACACTTCAAAATAAACTATTACCATCGAAGATAACAACTATTGATATTTTTTGTTGTCATTTTCACTTATTAATGATTCTGTCTCTATTCGAGGTCCATTTTAGTTTATCTGCTTTACAGTAATGTTGTCGAAGAAAAAGCTTCTTTCAAAATTCACTTCAGTTTCTGCTTCAGCTAACTGATTTCTACTTAATTAAGTGCCAGGATTCTAGATCTTAGAGCAGGCGGACGTGTTATTAGAAGACGTGAAACACTATTCAGCCGGGGCATCAGCCGAAATTCGCATTGCTATACAGCAACCCAACAACAAAGATGCTCAACGAGGAGCACTGGATATTCTGAGCAGACTGGTGATTCAGATTAGGGCCTACTATGAGTTATCACAGCGCATTGAACAAATTGTACCGCTGCTGCTGTGGGATCTTTGTTCAGGTATGCTTTTTTTGTGCAATTTGAAAATTAGTTTCACACAGCTTTTTTCTAATTCACAATTGTGAAACATCAGAACTCATACATTTGTAAAGTGCATCGGAAGTAAGGGCAATAAATTGATCGAGAAATAAAAATTCTAAAAATTATTGCAAATAGTCTTTTTTCATTTTTTCCATTTTTATTGAATTGGAGAGTTATATTTATGTTTTTGCTGACTATATTGATAAATTACTAGTGTGAGTATCATTTGTAAGTAATCATTAGTGAATGTGTGGTCATGTCACTCAGATTTAAGCTGTGTTTCCTGTCGTCAGCTTTAATGCTTACAAGATGTATTATGTGATAAGTGCAAACGGAATTCATGATATCAAAAACTATAGGGCCACTGCCACCAGCAGAACAGTTGGATACACTACAGGCAACCTGTCGACAGTTTGCCCGTCTTATTGACTTTGCACTTTCATTTGATGCTGTCAAAATGTGTACTCCAGCACTGCAAAACGATTTCAGTTTCTATCGTCGAGCAATGTCTCGTGAGGTATGTTATAAACTTGAACATAGTATTTATTCATCGTTTGATTCTTTAATGACAGTAGTGGCCTTTGCCTTTCTAAACATTTGCTATGTGGGTCAGCTTTTCTAATTCTATGTTTCATTTTCAGAGTGATGGGCAATTTGCCATACCTTTGGAATTGGCCAATACCATATCATTGTTTTTGGCTAGTCCAACTCCAATGCTCTCTGCACTTATCACAGCTACAACTAATTTTGTTGCTACAAATGGCGACCTTCCCGTTTCTAATACTACAGACACATTAGCCACTGTTGTGCAGGTAAGCAAAAAAGTCGAATTTTAAAGGTGGGTAATTATTGAACAACAATCTTTTGAAGGTCTGCCGATTTATGGTGGAAAAAGAGGAGAATTGGGAACGGCTCTCAGACCAAAATTGTTCCTTCACAATGAGAGTTATGGTTGGAGCGATTATACTATATGATCATATTGATAACACGGGGGCTTTTTGCAAAGAATCGCCCATTGATATTCGATCGATTGTGGAATTAATTAAGACGCAATGCAGAAATGAAGAGGTGCATACTTTTTTATTTTCTAAAGAAATATTAGTTTCGAATTTGAAATTGTCATTGATTTCATACATTACGAAAATGCTCTTTTGTAATTAATTAATAACTTAATCTGCGCTTTTTTGTAGGAATACTTTCAACATAGAATGCATAACATTCTTATATAAGATGTATAAGATGAGCATGCAACTGGTTTGAGAATGTTTCTACAATTCCAGTTCCTTGAATTCATTGATAAATCCTAAATTTTTTACTTGTTGTAGTCTGATTTTCAGGCAGAATCATTGTTAAGCGCTCTGCGATATACAACAAAACATCTCAGTGACGGAAGCACGCCAAAATCAGTTCGTGCACTATTTCCCTAGTAGAAAATTTGCCAAAATGAAAACTGTGTTTTTTAAATGTATAAGTAAATTTTTTGCGAGTGAAATATCGCGGGTATTTTTTGGAAGAGCATGCTCTATAAGCCCAGCATCTTAGCTCTATCCTTTGTTCAATTAAAATTCTTTTAACTTTAGTGTTGGTACTTGTGCTTTCATTCATTTGTGCATGATTATTCAATTTATTTATGCAAAATTATTGTAGGCCAATCAGAAACCAGGAATGTAAGATCTTGGGAAGATGATGGATTTATTTTATAGTCATTTGTATCGCTGTTGTCTTTCTTTATTGCTTTTACAATCTATTTTTCGTTTTCGTATAGGTCAGTGCATTTATTATCAGTTATTATTCGTGCTTCTGATGTTCAGTCTGTTAACTTCCTCCAATTAGGTTTTCGTTCTACTTATGTATGTATAGCATACTATCATTGTCTGCAGTTTACATTTGCTTTTTATGAACACCTAATTTTCCAACACTGAATCCCATTCTTTTTATAGGAGTATTTGCAATACTCCTATAAAAGATTTCTATCGCATTGCGAGAATAATGGTAGGGAAAGACAGGTACCAGGGACTGTTGTGGTTGAATTTTGAAATTTATTGGAAAAACAATTAAAACATTGTTGTTTTTCCCTATTAATTGCTTTTCTTACTGATAGGCATAACTCTTGACAATACACAGCTAAATACAGTTCATTGGTACATGATAAAGCTATATTAAGGAGTGTGGCAGTATACACAACAATCTAATAGTCCATGCCAATTTGTTCGCACATTAAGTGATCTGGTAATACCCTTAATGGGCGGCTGAGTGTTTACTCCAAATCTTTCACGTTGTTTAGATTGAATCTTTTTTTTTCTTTTTTTTTTGAGGAAGTTTCTACTGCTAGAAGGATTTTCCATTCAGTGAGGGATTGGTGATAATTGAGCATAGCAGGTTTAGTCATGAAACATGGAGTTAGTTTTTTTTGAAGTTTTTTTTTTCACTGTTGTGCCATGAAATATTTCTGTGGAATATTTCAAGAACAATTTATGTAGAGTTTGAATATGGAACAAAGCGGTAATTTGAGTGAGCGTTCACTTAACTAAAAATATTAATAGTCTCCAGCAATATAGTTCTTTGCATTGCTCGCCTTACTCAAGCAGTAGTCAGAAAATTTTCAAAGCTTGAAAATTTGCAAAAATTTGGTTACCCAAAATATAACACGCGGAATTAAAAACACTGCATATGTGTGGCATCAAAAAGAAGGTGGTGTTTGTGGCAGGTGTATCGTTTCAGACATTATCATAATCATTACGAATGACTAACAAATTAAGAGCCGATATAACATGATCCATAAATATACTGCCAACAAACAATCAAAGTTTGAAAAATAAATGATTGAGACTAAAGTATGGTACATTTCTTCTTTTTTTCTTGTGCCGGTGGTTCCAACGCTGCCAATATTGCTTCATCAAATACATTTTTTAAGCCTTTCTGCAAATGCAGCAAATTTAAAAAAAAAGAAGCTCGAAAAAATGAAATGAACTGAACACTAAACCTAATGTACAATATCGAGTTTGTCTAACCATTAAGGACTCTTTGCATCCCTTTCTGTCACTTTATAAACAGAGAAAAAATTAATTTACAGTTCA